TTTATTACTTCCTTAACATTGATGTTTATTAAGCAGAGATTGTTTACGGTAACTGTTTGTAGGGGAATGTTTCTGCAGGGTAGCTCTCTCCTCTCGTATACAGAAGCAAAGGATTCTGCAAAGAGATTGCACACTTCATGGCCGTCGGTATCAACTTTATTGTTAAGTACCATTCTGGCTGGGTACGTGTTTGATGTTTTTTTTATGTTTTTAAGTGTGTTCAAAAATATTTAGGATTTTTTTGTAGGTTACTTTCAACGCATTCAATATAATTATTATAACTTGCTTTAATTAATTTATTACAGCTAAACCTTAGTGATTTAAATTTTAGTATGTCTTGAGGGTTATTGTAAATTCTACTTTTAACTCGATATTTATTTTTAATTTTTAACATATAAATTAATTTTTTATTATACCATAAAGGAAACTTTACACTTTTGGCTTAGTCTTTGGCACGTGTTTTTCAATTATTGATTTTAATTTATGATAAAATTCATTAAGCATTGAGTTAACTGAATCGCAGTTTAGTAATAGTTCTGACCAATTTGTACCATCTAATTCTTTATTAATGGCCTCATAATCTGCTCTAAAGAAGTTGTACCTTTCATTAAGCTGTGCATTGATCGTATTAATCTTCAAGAAATCAAGCTTTAGGTTAAGTGACGGATGATGATTATCAATTATGCTGATTGGATTGAAGTTTTGCCTAACTGTCACATGAGTATGATTTGAAAGAACCAAATCAAGCAACCTACCATTTGCGTTAAATATTGAATTGAATTGTTTTAAATTGATTTCCTCGATAAAGTCAACAAAACTAGACGCTAAGTTAGAACTACTAATGGGGTATAGACAATTTACTTCCGGTACTTTCGACCATGCAATACTACTAATATTAAAATCCCCCGTTAGCATGACGTATTCATTTGTATTAATAGCTTTGGACGCATTTTCTAAGAATTCGCTTAGCACATTGCTATTCATCGGATTTGGCAAGTATACTACGCAGATTGCAACATGACTTGGTTTACATCTATAATTGCATCAACCGTAATCCACAAATCTTCGCAGTTACTCTCCCAATGCAGGCAACGACTTGATTTTAGGGTATTTTTAACGGCTATCATTACACCCCCTCCATTTTTGATTCTTTTTGAATCTAATTGCTCCCTGTCTCTCCTGTATACCGTATAGCGATCATCAATAAACTCACTATCGAACACACTGTTATTAAGCCAAGCCTCTGTAAAAATTAAGATGTCGAAATCATTACACAGTATGTTAAGTTTTACATCACGCGTCTTAATACGAATCCCTCTTACGTTTTGGTAATATATATTTCATCATCATCATCATTACAGCCCTTCACAAGTCCACTGCTGAACCTAGGCCTCCCCCAAGTAATGCCACAAAGCACGGTCCTGAGCCACCTGCATCCATCGACTTCCTGCATGTCTTACCAGGTCGTCACTCCATCTAGTGGGGGGTCGTCCTACACTACGCCTACCGGTACGAGGCTGCCACTCGAGAACCTTTCTTTCCCATCGGTTATCGGTTCTTCGAGCTGTATGGCAGGCCCATTGCCACTTCAGCTTACTAATCTGTTGGGCTATGTCGGTCACTCTGGTTTTACTGCGGATATCCTCATTTCTGAGTCTATCACGCAGTGAAACTCCGAGCACAGCCCTCTCCATAGCTCGCTGAGCGACCTTGAGCGTCCTCATACGGCCAGCGGTGAAGGACCACGTCTCAGATTCGTAAGTCATCACTGGCAACACGCACTGGTTATACACTTTAGTTTTCAGAGATTGAGGTTTACCTGACGAGAAGATGTGTCGTAATTTCCAGAACGCTGCCCAGCCGAGTTCAATCCGTCGATTGACCTCTCGGTCGAAGTTGGACTTACCTAGTCGGACTATTTGTCCCAGGTAAACGTACTCGTCAACAACTTCGAGCATAGTGCTCCCAACAACTACCGGCAAAGGTGTGACATGGACATTAAACATGATCTTTGTTTTGTCCATGTTCATCTTAAGACCTATCCGTTGGGAGACACCATTGAGGTCATTGAGCATAGTGCTAAGGTCCTCCAGCGATTCTGCCTTAAGGACTATATCGTCGGCAAATCGAAGGTGAGTGATGTACTCGCCATTGATGTTAATACCGTATCCTTTCCAGTCCAGTAGCTTGAAAACGTCTTCCAACGCAGCGGTGAAGAGTTTCGGGGATATAACATCACCCTGTCTTACACCTCTCTGCAGTTGGATAGGTTTCGTACTCTGCTTCTGTACTCGGATAGCCATCGTAGCCCTACTGTACAAACACTTCAGCACATCAATATACCGATAGTCAACTAGGCACCGCTGAAAAGACTGTAGCACCGCCCAAATTTCGACGGAATCAAAGGCTTTCTCATAGTCCACATACGCCAGGCAAGGTGGCAGATTGTACTCTTCGGACTTCTGTACAATTTGCCGAAGGGTATGTATGTGGTCTATGGTACTGAAGCCTTTTCGGAAACCGGCTTGTTCGGGAGGCTGGAAGTCGTCGAGTCTGCGTGCGAGACGATTCGTAATGACTCTCGAAAACAGCACGTAGACTCACTCAGAAGTGTGTAAGAAATCGATCTGTAGTTCTTCAAGAGAGCGTTGTCGCCTTTCTTAAAGAACAATACCACCGCGCTTCTGCTCCACGCCTCCGGAGTAGTGCCACCATGGAGGACGGAATTGAAGAGCTTCTGAAGGACTTCAAGTACAGGTGTTCCACCCGCTTTCAGAAGCTCCGCTGTAATTCCATCCTCGCCCGGGGTCTTGCCGTTTTTAAGGTGGTGGAGAGCCATTCTAATCTAGCTCAGACTGACATCCGGGATATCATCGGAATAGTGTCGGATAAGACTTGCTCTTGGATCGTTACTCACACTTGCGTGTGGCTCCAACGATGATGTGTAAAGCTGCCCATAGAACCTCTTAATCTCACTCAGAATCTCAGGTGTCCCGGAAACGATGCTGCCACACTCAGTCTTCAGCTTTGACAGTTGGCTCTTTCTGGCAGACAGATCTCTGGCAAAGACTTCGGAGCCCTGGTTCCGCTCGATCGCTTCTTTAATACGAGCAGTATTAAAGTTGCGTAAGTCTCGCCGCATGCATTTGGAGATCTGTCTGTTCAGTTGCCTGTATGCTATCAAATCTGTTGACGATTGCAGCCTCATCTCCCGTCTAACAGCCATGAGATTAAGAGTGTGATCGGAGAGTTTTTGTGTTCTTTTGCGGCGGGTCTTGCAGAACTTAGTTCCGACCGCATGGACAGTTTCCACGAGCTTGTCATTCATATCGTCCACTGCATTGCAATCCTCTAGGTACTGAAAGCGGTTTTGTAACTCGAGCTGAAAGGTTTCGGGATTCTGGATTAGAGCACGTGGGGGACGGAGCGTCGACTTCATTAGGCGAGACCTCTCCAACTTAACATTTAGGTTCAGTGTGCCTCTAACCATTCGGTGATCGCTGCCAGTTTTCACCCTTGCGATCACTGAGACATCACTGAACAGTTGGCGTCTGGTAGTCATAATGATGTCAATCTCATTTTTTGTCGAACCGTCGGGGCTCGTCCAGGTCCACTTCCTGTGGGGCCGCTTCTGGAAGATAGAGTTCATCATAAAGAGTCCCTCTTTTTCCATAAAGTCGGCCAGCTGCTGGCCCCTTCGGTTCCGTTGCCCTACTCCAAATTTTCCCACCTTCAGCTCACCGCTTTTTCTTGTGCCTAGTTTTGCGTTGAAGTCTCCCATCAACACCGTGTAGTGGGTTTTGGAGGAATGCATGGCTCTGGAAATATCCTCATATATTTCCTCCACCTCCCCATCGGGATGTGCCGAGGTTGATGCGTAAACTTGTATGACCTTCAGCGAATACCGTTTGGTGATTCTGAGTATCAGGTACGCGACCCTCGTCGACACACTCCCAATCTTTACAACGTTGTTGACGAGAGACTTGTGGACGATAAATCGGACACCTCCTTGGGACAGATGGTCGCCCTCCCGGTGGTAGAACAAGTTGCCGGACTCGAGGATTGCCGTATCCTCCCCCTCTCTTCGGACCTCGGATAATCCAATAATATGCCAGCGCAACCTGTCTACCTCTTCTTCCAGCTCCAGTATCTTCTCGTCAGTCATCAGAGTGCGTGCGATATATGTTGCCAGGTCAAGTCGTCGTAGGTGGCAACCGAACCTTCACCGGAGATTCTTAGCACACCCTGCCCCGCCGTTACCATGGTCGCCACCGTAGCCAGGAATAGCGGGGCCGCCGGGGACTGGGGGCCGTTTTTTTGCGTCGTTATTCATGGGGGGATATTTGCCATAGTTGCCACGCTTGGCGAGCGGGTTGGCAACCGCAGTTTTTTTATTATAACACAGTTGTTATCAGAAAGATGCTGCTGCCCATCTCCTGCCTGTCTCCCTCTGTCGCCTCTTACGACACCCACGGGAAGATATGGGGTAGTGGATATTCTCAACCGCCACTACACGGCATCATATACAATATACAGATATATATTTAATGTATCGTATTTAAACAAAATTTCGATAAGAGACTAGACAGATAAGTACTTTACTATTGTAAATCTTCGAACTGCTCGATGTTACGCACGACAATATGCTCAGAATTATCGGTTTCTCTTAAAAGACACGACCATTTTTAATCCAGACAAATTTGTATTTTAATTTCTTTGCTGTCGCTCTGGCAAGGGCGTGGATTTTATTCAGCTCCGGGGTCAAATGTTCGACTACAAATATAGGTTTTTTTTCGCCACCTATCCCGATGTGGCTTGTATTTAGTTTTTCATTGGTGTTTCTTTTATTGAAATTTATTACTCCGGCCAAGAATGTATCACGAACCCGTGGACAAGCAAACTTCACAATAATAGACCGTGGTCGTGCATTTTCTGGATTAATCTTGGCGATTCTTGTACATTTATGGATATCAGCGTCGGATACTTTAGTGCCAGCGGCCCTATGTTCCGTAACACATTGTATCTCTAGGTTGCTCATTCTTGAATGCTGCTCCATAATGATGGCTTAAGCGACTATTGAGGTTTTTTACTGTTGATTTAAGGCAATCATTTTCTTCTTTTAGTTGTTTTACATCTTTAAATTTTACTTGCATATCCTTTTTTAAATCTTCGTATTGGTTAGTAATGAAAAGAACAGATTCGTTTAGATTAGTGATTTCCACGGTTAGTCCCTTTATTTTATTTTCTATCATTTTGCTGATATTGCTTTCAATTTTGTTTATAAATTCATTCATCTCATCATGAATTATGTGCTTTATACTCTCAAGAGTGAGAGATTCCTGACTTTGAGTTAAGTGCGTAGGTTGTGTGCGTCTTAATGTGATGTTACTGCTCGTGTCTCGAGGTGAGATTCCAAAGCTGCGAACAGGCGTGTCAGAATTATCACATTTTGCTTGCTTTGCTCGGCAAGTCGGGCAAACCCAATTGTTTTTAAAATCAGTAGAAAGTTCTTTATATTTTTTGCTGCTGGTGTTTATACAATCGTAATGGTATTTAAGACTGCATGTAATACATTTAAGCTGCTCTTGCGTGATAAGTTCTTCAGAGCACGCACCACATTTTTTGTTTCTCAAGGTTTTTGTACTCATATTTGCGGAACAGGTGTGGTAAAGTTAGCAAAAAGTTAATACGGTGACTTGCTATAGCTTATTTGACAGGCGCTTACATGCAATTGAATGTGGTGTGACGTAGATGCGGGGCGATCGCGGGTTGCCCTAGGTCAGGGAGTTTTTAATTTAACGATGTTTTGTAAATACAAAATGCGATTACTCACGAACCCCTGCACCGATTTCGACGATCCAAACACTTATCACTTCTTTATAATGAGGACTATATTATGTACCAAAATTGTCAAATTACGTAAAGTTTAAACTATACATTTAGATTAAAATGTCACGGATCAGCTGATAGACACTGTTATCGTACAACGCGCGGGTAGTGGAATCAAAATCAAATTCGGCTACTTGCTGCTGCAAAGCTGGTATATCGTAGTTTGTTTCACGTATAATTTCATCACTTAGTTCATTTTCGGTTGTTTGCTGAGGGCTTATCATTCCAAAGTCGCTTAATTTTTTGCCTACCATTGCCATTACTTTATCTTCAATTTTTCCAAGTGCTTCATTATAAATGTGTTCATTGTATGTCATGTTCGCGTGTGTCTGCTGTAACCTTCGCAAAATATCTTCAGCCATGTACTCTTTATATTTGTCCCACAATTTATGTGCATTAGATAGCCCGCAAGATGATATGAGAGTTGAATAAAGATCCCTAATTTTGGCTGGTGACTGGCACTGCACAGCTTCCTCCATGGTTTCATCCCAGTGATTACCGTTTTCTAAAAGATGCAGAAATTCACATGCTTCTCTATAAGTTGCGCATTCCTGACCGTTGATAGTTTTAAGGTCTTTATATCCTGTAGGACCCCGAACATGGTGCAGCAGCAATCGTAAACAGAAACATTCAAAATTAGTTACATGGACGGTATACACACGACCAAGGACATCTGATGACTTTACACCGGGCCAATTTGTAACAGGCGCGCCTTGAATACGGCGTTTCCACTCCTTTCTAGATGTGTTCCAAGTATAATAGCGGGGGACTTCAGAATATAACAACGTTTTTGCAAAGGGGTCGGTTTGACAAAGTTGAAAGAAGTCTGTTAGTGTAGTTTTTGGCGGTGATGCAATTCTTTCTTGGAAATTTCCAATCCATTTCTTTCGGTGAAATATACACGCTCTCCATTTTCTAAGTGCATAGCAAGGTGAGTAACTGTTGGGTGCCCTTCGTGTAAAGGGAAGCCAAGGAGACGCTACGCTGCCTCGTTACTGCTGACATAACGCCCTTCTTGAAAGGTACTTCACTGACGGTACTTCTACGTACTTCGGTACTACTGATGTACTTCATTAACGGGATTTGCCTCACCATCACTCCTGAGATTAAATATTGCTTGGTCGCTTCCTTTATTTATGTACTTACAGATATACTTGATTGCGCGGACAAAGCTACATGCTTCTAGATTAATGTGGGCATTAAAAATTTTACATTGAATGGGCGAATACGGGACAATCCAGCTGTTATCTAAGGTTTCGAATGCTCCAGAGCGAGATTTGATTGTAACTTTCCTGACACCATTTTCGGGAGCTCTGCGTCTGTATAAAGGGTAACCATTGTCATATTTTATTTATTTACACTTTATTGCACCTTAATAAAAAGGATTACAAAGGGCGGACTTAATGCCATTAGGCATTCTCTCCCAGTCAACCTGGGACGTGTGGAAATTATGTGATAGGTGACAAAATAAAATGAACAATAGAGTAAAACAAGGAAAAAAACTACTGATAAACTTAAAAACAAACTAATATTATATATACAAATACAATAAACTTATATACTCCAAAATATAATACAGATAATATATAGTATATACATACATATTCATAGATACATAAATATATACATATTTTAAATACAAATAGATATATAATATAAACTAACATAACATAAAATAACAACAAAGGTAACCAAAATTAACCATATTAACTATCATCTAATATTTTCATAAAATGCTTATGTACCAATATTTTAAAGGCAGTCATATTAGATGTTTTTCTGACGTCATCGGGCAAGGAGTTCCAGAGCAGTGCAGCCTGAATTGTGAAGGATTTACCTACAAAATTAGTAAAATGTAGAGGGATACTTAGTTTATTATTATACGAGGAACGCAGAGTTCTATCATGCGTTAGGGAAATATATTGAAATTTCTCCTTGAGATAAGAAGAAGTGGATGGATCATTTAAGATAGAGAAAAGAACAAGCAAAATTCTAGAGTCACGCTTCTGTTTAATAGTGAGCCATTTTAGGCGAGAGCGATAGTGAGAAATATGATCAAATTTACGGAGATTGAAAATGTATCTGACGCAATTGTTGAGAAGGCGCCCTAGCTTGTTGAGAAGATTTTGGTTTAAATCCGGGTTACACACGTCTGCATATGATTATACAATTATGCTTGTACAGTTACTTATACTACCAATCATTGATATGATTGGTAGTATAAGTAACTGTACAAGCATAATTTTAGTCTTTAAGGGGAGAAAATTTTTCAATCGATAAAGAGAACGTAAAGAACCAGAGACTTTACGACATGTTTCGGAGATATGAACCCCCCAGGACAGAGTACTATCAATATGGAGACCAAGATTTTTAACTGAGAGAGAGAACGGTATCAGACGATCATTATAATAGACGGGAGGTAGACTAGCGGCATCTATTTTAGGAAGCATCCTTGAGCTACCCACAATCACCGCTTGGCATTTCGTAGGGTTAACAGACACTCCAAAGCGCATAGACCAATCACAGACTGACTTGAGATTTGAATTCAATTTGTTAATCGCATAATGAATGTCAGAAATGTCAGACTGTACATAAATTTGTAGATCATCAGCATAAAGATGGTACGAACAATCAATATTAGATGTGATGGAATTAATAAAAATAGAGAAGATTAATGGAGAAAGTATACCGCCTTGCGGTACGCCAGAAATCAGGTCAACCCACTGTGAAGTCATTTGCTCCACGTGGACAGACTGTTGACGTCCGCGAAGATAAGATGAGAACCATTCCAGGACTGACGGTGCAAACCTATAATAAGAAAGGATAGCAAGAAGGATATCATGGTCAACCGTGTTAAAAGCATTAGAAAAGTCAACGAGCACCACAACTTTAACTTTCTTGTTTTCCATTCCATCTCTAATATCTTCAGTTATTTTAAGTAAGGCAGTTGTAGTTCTGTGATCGGGACGAAACCCGGACTGAAAAGTACTCAGCAGGTTATGTTTATATATGAAATTGGAAATTTGCTTATGAACACAGGCTTCCAAAACTTTAGATAGGAAAGGTAAAACTGATATGGGACGAAAGTGATTGGGAAGTGTGGGATTGGATACTTTAGGAAGGGGTCTAACGAAAGCATTTTTCACTGACTCGGAAACTGACCCGAGTCAAGCGAAAAATTAACAATATGTGTGATTGCGGAGATAATGTGTTCTAGAATATTAACAATCATGGCTCTGCTAATATCATCGCAACCGACAGCCTTGGATTTTATTGCCAGAAGGATCTTTCTGATTTCATCCTGATCTACAGGGTTAAAAAGAAAGACTTTTATGTGTGGAGACGGAATTGAGGCTATGTAAGCGACTGTTTGGGATCGGATTGAAAGGTCCAACGCAGAAGCAGAAGCAAAATGAAGATTTAAAGCATCGTGAGAAAGAGATAAACCACAATCCAAAGAGGGTGTTTTGCCCACACCTAGAGAACTAAGAAATTTCCACACATCAGCTGGCGAAGAATTACTTATATTGCTATGGATAAATCGGCGTCTTGCAGAACATACCATCTGATTGCATCTGTTTCTGGCCTACTTAAAAGACAACTAGTTTTCCTTAGACCTGCTCCTCTTGAACTGGGCAAATGCTCGATTTCGCCTAGTCATGGCCTTCCGTACCTCTTCAGTCATCCAGGGAGCTGGTTGTCACTGTGCACTGTTTCTTTTAATAGCTATTTAGGGAATTTCTTTGCACATTTTCCTTCTTTCATACATGGCGATATTGAATTTAGTGCTCCCCGTGGACCGTGATCATATATCGGACGATGGTATCATACAATTCTTTATCTTGCTCAGGATCCGGAATCTCGGCGCTTATTATGTCGTTTATTTGGCTGGGCCGCCACTTATTTTTAAGCCATATTAGAATGTGGGCATGCGGTAATCCTCTTTTTTTGCCATCCAATTGAATACATGAACCTCTCTGAAAATTTTTCCTTTGTTAATTACATACATTAATTTTCGTACTTTTAATCTAAATACTCTAGCAACTAAATCGTGTCTGTCAGTACTTTTTTGGCCCGGCATTAGCTCCTCGGTTATTTCTTTCCAAGTGGGATTGCAAGTAAAAGTAACAAAAAGATCAGGTCTTCCGTAAGTTCGTACATAGGCGAATGCATCTTGTGTGTACTCATGTAGGTAGCGGGGACTGTTAACGAATGATGAGGGCAGAATTACCATTTTACCTAAATCTCTGGGGTTTACATTGGCGTCGCTAGAAACTGCATCTTGTAAATGTATATAATTCTCAACGGGCAGCTTTTTTTTGATTTAAAGATATATAACGGAGACGTTCACTCTCTACCTTCACATACATGTGCCTACCAAAATTGATAAAATAATTGTCTACACCGGGCTAAGAGGTTAAAATCATTTTCGCGCAACATCATACGATACGCATAAAAATCCATACATAATACGTTTTTGTTCGGAGTAGGCTACTTTGTGACCGGGTTAATGAGTGGAATTTGAAAATGATAACCCTATTGTCCTTTACAATAAATCAATGGGTATTTCAGAGCGTCATAAAACTTGTGTGTATTGGCTACCCGTTGCATTATATCATCACGTGCTCGCAAGACAATGTCTCGTGAAGAAAATTGATCACCACTAATTACGGCTGCTATTTCATTGTGCATTGTAGCGCCTTTCATGCTCTCCTCGAGGGGTCCGATCTGCGTGAATGACGACTTTATAATCCTCTTC